AAGAAAGTAACAAAACAATTTTATTTTACTTAAATGTAAATTAAAACGACACCAAAAAAACCCCCCAAAAAACTAAAACAAAAAACAAAACAAAAGAAAACAAAAAACAACTGCAATAAGCAGATATGAATGTGTGTGAGAGAGAGAGAGTGTGTGCATGTGTGTGTGTATGTACGTGAGTGAGTATGCTCGTTCCACATTGTATTTGTGCTCTAGTATCAGGCCTTCATTTTTGTGTGGACATTTTCAGATTTATGCTGGATTTATTGATTTTATTTGCCAGTTTCTATAAAAATGCCCTCTGTTGCAGTCACTCCTGTGTGTGTGTGTGCGTGCGTGCACGTGTGCATGTGAGTGAGCATGTCTTTCCTACATTGCATTTGTGCTCTAGTACCAGGCCTTTATTTCTGTGTGGAAATTTTCAGATTTATGCTGGATTTATTGATTTTTTTTTTTTACAAATGAAAATTTTTTTTAGATTTTTTCGCATTTCCCATTCATTTTCAGTTGGGGTCATATTGACCCCAAAGACCAGATTTGTAAAAAATTTTTTTACATACCTTCAGAACAACCGAATCAATCCCATTTTTTTTATGTGAATACAGATAGAAAATGTTGAAAAGTCACAAAATCTTATTCCACTGAGATGAAGGGAACCATTTTTTTTAACTAAGTAAAAGTTGATTGGGGTCATATTGACCCCAAGGACCAATTGAGGGTTTTAAGTGTGTCCTTTACAGAGACATTATTGTCTTGAGCATGTGTGCATTCTTCCAACAACATTGTTTGTTCTTACTCTCTTGCAAGTTGACAGAAGCTATGTTTCTGGCTCTCGGCCATTCAGCTTATCTAACCCGTGTGCTATTTATTCCTTGACTTCCTTTCCCTGCCGTCCTGCCTTTTCTCGTGGTCTTGCTCTGGGCAGCTCTAGGTCCTGATTCCTGCTCTATTGGTTTGGAAGAGTAATGGGTATGTAGGCCTCTGTGTCCTTCTCTCGGCTCTTCCTCCATGTTCTTATTCTCAGTGCCGTGCAAACCTATACGGCACAAAAAGTTCTTCAATCGATCATTAAATTGTTGCTTTGACGTATTTGTTAAACTTTAAAGTACCTGTTTCTAAAATATGTCATGTGTTACATGTGATTTGATTTTGGTATTAGTGTAGAGTAGTTTTTTAACTGCAGTATTGGTCATTTCCGTAGGATTATCTGGCTCAACGGAAAGTCTGAACACTCCGAGTACCTGCTGCTCCAGCCAGCCGCTCCTGGGTCCCTCAAGCCATTTGCACATGGACGACGATGAACTGGATGTTTAACCCTGCCCATCTCCTTCTTTGTACAGCCCGATATGTCTCCACATTGCAGTTTGATGCACTCCCATTCCAGTATCCCACTTTGAATATGATTGACTCTTGTTCCAGGCCTTTTGTTTTTGAACATAACTGGCTGAGGCTGATGAGCTTGTTCTGGTGGTCTGTCATATTTCTTGTGCTTGGTTTTAGGGCTCTATTTTATCAAGTTGCTTCACCCAAAATCACCTTTACATCAGTGTTTCTCAACCCTGGTCCTGAGCGCCCCCCAACACTGTCTACTTTTATCGAGCTTTTGGAGCTTCACAATCCATCGTTTCATGGAAAAAGATAAAACACAGCTTTAGAATGATGATAAATAGATGATACTTTTCGAGTGAAATTGTAGATGGTTGTTGCAGATGAAATTCCTGCTGATTTGTGGATACACTCTTAAAAGTAAAGTGCTTTTATTAAGTTTGGCATCTGTTGTTCCGTGAAGAACTTTTAACATCCAAGGAAACTTACCATTGCACAAAAGGTTCTGTAGATGATTAAAATGTTCTTCACACTAAGAAAAACATTGTTTTATGACCTGTTTGCCGAAAGGTTCTTTGAGGAACTTCTTTGTATTTTTAAGAGTGTAGTTGATGGTGAAGCAGGTCATTTCAGTGCTTGGTTATGTAATGCTGAATATAGAGCTTTGATCCAGGACTTGATTATAACTAATAAACATACAGCAGCTTGCCACGATTAATAGACAAAGCACATTTCAATAAAAACTCATTTCAGGATATATGTACGAGTAAGCGTAAAACTCAACAAATGATCAAGTGTTAAACTAATGAGTGAATAATACAGAAACATAATTGTAACTGTGCATTTGAAATGTTTTTAGTAAGTGCTTAAATGTCCTGAACTTATTTTTGTGTGTGTGCTAACTGAAGATGAGCAGTCAGCAAAGCACTTCTGAATGTATATATATATATATATATACCTTTACATTATTCAAACTCTGCAATATTATCTTTCTTCCGTGAATCACTAAAGAAGATTCCATGAAAGTGGAAGTTGATTTTAAAGTACTTGTTAGGCTCCAAAAACCAGTCAAATAAAATGATTAGTCTTTACTACATATCAAGTTTTCAGAAGCCATATGAAATACTTGTGATGAACAGACCAAACTCTAAACCAGGGCTGTCCAAACTCGGTCCTGGAGGGCCGGTGTCCTGCAGAGTTTAGCTCCAACCCTAATTAAACACACCTGAACCAGCTAATCAAGCTCTTACTAGGCATAGAAGTGATCAAATACTGTTGGAAATGGTGGACTTGTCAGTTTATGACCAAATATTGTGCGGTCTAACAGTGCTTTAAATGTGCTTGCTTGTTCATGCTCTAATACTTGATAAGGACTAAAATAGCCATGGTGGACTCTCCTTACCTCTTTATTTGCTTATGAATATTGTAATATGATTTTTAAATACTTAAACATGTGAAGGCATTCCGTTCATGTGTCGGTTCAGATGTTATTGAATCATTTAAGAGTGACGACTTTGTGAATATTTGACAGGTTGGTTGTATTTCTTCACAGCTGAACCCTGTATTTCTAAGAAAGGAAAAAAAAAGCTCAATGAACAAGTTACAAGAAGCATGAAATCTCATTGTTCTCCTCAAACATGCAGATATGCAGTGTCTTGTAGCATTAGAGGTTTATGTGCCTTTAAAGAACAAAGCAAGTGTTGCTGCAGCTTTTGCTCATAGCTGTGCTGTTCTTGTGTTCATCGGCTGTAACCTTTAGCCTTGACTACATTTATGCATTAGATGCGAGACTGATGCTCTTGTTTGTAATGTCCATTTTGGAGAGTAGATCATTTTAAACTGATACTCTGTAGGTCGAAAGGTATTGCTTATACAAATTTTGTTATGCTATAATACTTGACACGATTTTTGTTGTATCATCTGTTAATACCGATTAAGCTGCTCTGTACATGTATTTTAATCGAATGTAAAAAAAAAAAAAGAGTATTGATGGTGTTGATTTAATTGCTTACAGCTCTGCATGGTTGGTAATATCGATGTAAGATTTATCACTGCTCTGGAATATGCATATTATTTATTTCCTCAAATAATGTGCCATTTCAATTAAATATTCCACTGTGGCTTCTTGTTCCTCACTTGTGAGAAATGCATTTAAAGCATACTTTAAAAAATAGTAATTATGAAAGCAATATACTTTAAGAAGTAATATTTCATTGTGCACCTAATGTATATTATTATTATGGAACAACTGTTGTATATAAATTACATGAATGGTATATCCTAAATGTAAGAAGTTAAGCCTTCAAGTGCTTTTTGACTTATTTTAGCAGCACTTAAAGGGTTAGTTCACCCAAAAATGAAAATTCTGTCATTAATTACTCTCCCTCGTGTTGTTCCAAACCCGTAAGACCTTCGTTCATCTTCGGAACACAATTTAAGATATTTTTGATGAAATCTGAGGGCTCTCTGACCCTCCCATAGACAGCAAGGTAACTACCACGTTCAAGGTCCAGAAAAGTACCAAGATGATCGACAAAGTAGTCCGTGTGACATCAGTGGTTCAACTGTAAAGTTACGAAGCTACGAGAATACTTTTTTGCGCAAAGAACTTTAACTTTACAGTTTTTACATTTTTGCGTGAACTAACCCTTTAAGCAAAATGTGATTTTGTCCCTTATAATATGCCGTTTCTGGATGTACTTTGGTCAGTGGTACTGGAAATAAAACGTAGTTCAAGGCAACTGTAATTTAGAAAAATATTCTACTGCTGCAGTGCTTTACTGTGTGCTGATACTACACTAATGGCTTCAGTACTCTTTTCAAAACACGTTCTGAAACATTTTTTATTAAAAATTACTTAATTAAAAATGTATTTCCCTAGATTTATTCATTTATTAAAACCTTACAGATCCACAAAAAATGATGTTGTCTATACATTTTTTGGTGATTTTTCTGACCTATTCTAATTAATGCATCATCTTTTATGGCAAATTCTTTAATAAACTTGTTTAATTAGAATAATATAACACTAATAGTGTTGGGTAAGTTACTCAAAAAAATTATTAATAGATACTAATTACATCTTCAACCATGTAATTGCATTACAACTAATTACTCTTTCTAGATAGCAGTGAATCACTTATTACTAATTCCTACTTGTTAAATCCCCTATCAACCTCGACCAGCTGAACAATACAAGAATAGTCATGAGACTGTTCCTTTTATTCTTTCAGATGAATCATATAAAATTGCACAAATTATTCTTGAACTGACCAAAGTATTTAAAAGGAGACTGTTACAATAAAAACACGTTTTAACATTAGATGGTTAAATTTGGATATTAAATCCACTATTGTTTTCTTAAATATGAAACTAAAACCGCCATTAGGTGGCGGCAAATCACTATGTAATGAATAAGTCACGGTATCATTTGCTTCGTTCAAAAGGACTTTATAAATGGATAATTGAATATTTCGCTCAGGGTAACGGCACTCTTCTTTCTCGTTTGATATTGCTTATCTATACCGTATGTGTAGTTCTAAAAATAAAAATAAGAATAAAAACTCATAGTCAGATGTTAGGTCAGTGGCACTGCTCAGAAAATGGACATGCGATGTAAGAACAGTTTGAGTCGCGTATGAAAGGAATGAAATTCCAAATGGAACCATGGATGAGGAATGAGCTTTATGTGTGCAGATGAGAGAACTGTATAAACAGCACATCTCCCTACTTCCCAACAATTATAAACACGTGCCATGGGTCGACATGTACCACGACGTCTACTGTCTGTGAAGCAGCGTAGAGAAACATGGCTGGCGTCCTTCGCTGAACACCTGCTTGACTGAATGATAACAGGTGCTTTAAAAAGTAGGCAAGTTATTCAGTCATAAAATAAACCACAGACCCCATTATCATTGTCTGAGCACGTTAGTGGATCACCACAGAAATAATCGGTCATGAGTCATACACAGTTAAAAACACTTATGATGGCTCAAACGACAAACAAACAGAAGACTATAATGCAACAGTGTTTGAGTCAGCTTGTGTTGGCCCTGAATGACTCATCCATTTGCCTCATAATAGCTGTTAGCCTATATTTTACTGGTCAGCAAGCGATTTATTATCTATAATCTCAACTTCTGTGAAACACCATTGCTCTAAATGGTCAAATGTTAACATATAAATCAACTGACTACTTAAAATGCTACTAAAATGTTAAAATAATATTAAAAGATTGTCTTTACAGGACTGGAGAAATATAAGGATGCTAATATTATTCTGTGGAGTTTTCTCTGATAAACTGTTTCTACATTAAAGATTGTGCACTAACAGTAGTAGTTCACCTGGTGATTGGAATTACTCTGAAGGTCAAGTCATCTTAAAACGAAGTAGCTCCTCCTTTGATGTAATCAGAGGTCCAGCATTAACTCAGAGCTTCCTCTCATTGAGTCCTGATGTATCTGGAAGTAAAGAGCTGGATTCATCAGGCTTCAGCCAATTATTGAACTAAGTCAGTGGACTAGATATATTTAGTTTGTCTGATGTCATTAAACCCTTAAAGTACAATACTGAAAGTCTGAAAGCTCCTTAAACTGTGTAGATTTGAAAAGGAAGACGTCATAGGACAATAATGAACAGCATTGTAAAAAAAAAAAAAA